CTCCCGACCTATCCAACCCCTCCTCCCTGTCCCCTGACCAGGGCCAGCTTTAAAGAGCCCAGGAATCGGGCTGCACTCTGGCCGGAGCTCCGGCCGGGGTTGCGGGGCTTGGGGCCGGGCCGGAGGTGCTCGGCCGGGGCTGGGCTGGCGCGCTCGGCCGGAACCGGGGTCGCTGCCCTGGGGCCAGAACTGGGACCAGAACCGCTGGGGCCCAAGCTGGGCCCGAACTGCTGGGGCCGCCGTGCACCGCTCAGCCCGGGCCGCACCTCCCCGGAGCTCTCCTCCTCGCGCTCCCCCCCCCGCCCCAGCTTACCTGTTGCTGCCTCCCACCTGCCCCTGCTTCTTTTCAGACTTCCTGCGAAGATCTGATTCGCGGGAAGCAGGGGAGGGTGAGGAGCAGGTGGGAGGAGGAGGGGGAAGACAGCTGCGGGGCCGGACAGCATGGTAAGGCTGCAGGGGATGGGGGGAGCCGGGAAGGGGCTTTGGGTGCCCAGTGGTGCTTGGCCGTCGGTTTTCTGTCTATAAATTGCTGACCGGGGGGAAATCCCGGACATTTTTAGATTTTTAAACCCCCCCCCCCCGGATGGCTATTTATAGACCGAAAAGCCGGACCTGTCCGGGAAAATCCGGACATATGGTAGCACAACACAGGAGCCTATGCCACTCCCCGTGGGTTCTACATGTCAGAGAGTCCTGCCATCTCTGCAGTCATAGTCTCCATCTCTTCCCCCCCAAAGAATTCTTCACTGTGTTGTCTTTTCCTAACTCTTTCACAGCTGGGATCACTAATTATTGTTCAGTTGCAATATCACAGTCACTTGGGTGGAGTGGGGCTTGCTTGCTGCTGGGTCACAAGCAAGGCGGAGCCTGGGTTGCCTTAAAAGGTCCACCAGTCTTTGATAGCGCTGTTCTAGATACCTTATAAGACCAGACCTGACACCGGCTGCTCTGAGACCCCGCTAGTGAAATTCATAACCCCATACTCACGCTGCAATCCCCATGTGCTTGGGGAGTGGGCATAAAAGCTTTTTTTCTCTTCAGACATTTTTAAGGGAACATGAAACTTGACCATTTCAGTGCTTGCATCTGCTGAATTTTGAGCAAACGAAGGTATGTAAAATACCTTGCGGAGGGAAACCCTGAACCAAAAAAAATTGAAATGAGATAATTTGCTTTATGGGGATAGCCAGTTCTTCATACCCTCAAAAGGGATCTCTTTCAGGGTTGATCCATTTTAATTAGCCTGTGAAGGCAGGGTCTGCTAGGTTTCCTGCCCTTCTACTGATCTACACCTGTGGTACTTTACAGCAAATATCCAGTTTGTCCCATGGATGCACTGAGACATGGAAGATACTGCTGTTTGTCTGTCTTGGTGTAAATGGACTGGTTTGTGTGTCTGGTTTGGGGATGGAGGAGGAGTGGTTGAAGTGCCTGTAGACTAAAGGCTGTGGTTTATCAGGATTAAATTGTCTTGTCTTGTTTTGTTTTGGTGACTAGAGCCACTGCTGAGTTCTCTTCTGCGGAGGATGCCAGGGTTGGAGGCTCTGGAGATCATGCAGTTAGTGAACTGCCCAGAATCCTTCACTCCAGATATGCGGTGCATCATGGGAGAGTCACCCACGGTACAGGGCTACTTCGTCCTGGCTGGAATGAACTCCGCTGGCACCTCTTTTGGTGGAGGAGCAGGCAGGTAAGTGGCTCACCAGCAATGTTCCCTCTAATTTTTTATATCTACGTGTGGAATGAATTATGTTATGTGCACCAATATGGAAGTGACGTGTGGCAGGGCTGGGGCCGAGGGGTTCGGAGTGTGTGTGGGGGCTCAGGGCTGTGGCAGAGGGTTTGGGTGTGGGGGTGAGGGCTCCAGCTGGGGGGTGTGGGCTATGGGGTGGGTCCAGGGATGAGGAGATTGGGGTGCAGGCTGCCTCTAGGCTGGGGCTGGAGGACTCCTCTCAGCCCTCTCCCCGCCGGCAGCAGCTCTGGGGCTGGGGTCAGAGGCCTCCCCCCAGCCCTCTCCCTGCCAGTGGCAGCCCCTAGGGAGAGGCGCTTCTGATCACTGGCAGCCCTGCACGCCCCCAACTTCTTCCCCTCCCTGCCTACCTCTCTCCTGTCCTCTCCCCAGCCCCCTATGGCTGTGGGCCTGCGCAGCCCTTTATAGCCTGCTGTGCAGCCACACAGCTTAGAGGGAACTTAGCTCACCAGTATAGTGCAAGAGACACAGTGGGGTTTTGTGTACCACAGGACGATATGCAGAATTTGATCATGTAAAACTGTCAGTCAATTCATGGGAGCCTGAGCTTAGTCAAGAAAGCAGCCTGGGTTATGAAAGAACACTGCGTTAGAGAGGGTGAAGAGCATATTGCATTTTCTCGGATTTCCTTCTCTGTGGGGGTTGCTGACTCATCAGGTTATTGGCTTTCCCTACGCATCTTTTTAGGCTCCACATGTCAGGGACCAACAGCTTGCTGAAGACTGATGAGGCTCCTTGCAGGGCCCACCAGTCCTGTTCCTTTTCCCAGCTGGCAGAAATAAATGCTGAGCACAGCACAGCTCATCTTGTCCCCTGCGCACAGGCTGGGTGTGTTGCCTCTGTGGTGCTGCCACATGAGGGGGGAAATTCCTAAATCCTAGACCTGTAGGCCAGCCTCTCTCAGAGTTAATTTTCACTAAAAATGCAGGCGATAAAGTACTTTGTACTATAAATACTAATGTGAGTTAAATGTCGGTGAAAGGTGCTGGGTTCACAGTCCCGGAGACTCATTTATACATTCCCCAAACAAACTTCCCCCACACTTCCTTCTGCCAGCGTCCTAGAGTTGTGATGACTCCCTGGTAGATTAGACTTTCATACAAATACAGGAACTTTGACAGATTTGTACAGATCACATCCAGGAAAAAAGGCTGCATTTAAAATGGCTGCTGCCCCTCACCCTGGTTTGCCCTCACCCACTCTCTCCTATAGTGGCTCCATCTTGGCACCCTGATCTGGCCCAGAATCCTCTGCCCCCACCCATTGCCTTCCATTAGCCAGGATTCTTCCTACCATCCCAGCCCCAGAGTGACCTGTTTTCCCCCCCTTCTTCTGTGATGGATATTGGTATCCAGATTTAGTACCCATTTGGTTCTGGTAACCATTAGTTGTCAGATGATTCACACAGAAAAGGGAATCCTCCATTTTTCTCTGTCATAATAAGGTCCATAGCACCATTACAGGAAGATCTGCAGCCTATTTGCAGCTTTGGGGTCAGAACCAGACCTGTCCATTTGTCGGTTCAAGCTGTCTGTCTTGACATTGCATTAACATAGCTTTCTCCGTAGATTTTCTGATGACCCCTTTGCTATTGTCTCTGCCAGCCAAATGTGTTGAACTGTTCTGCTTTAGTCTGGGCTGCTCTCTTCCTTTTAGCTTTCTGTCATTCTGTCTTGACAGGGGTCTGGAGTACACCCTCCAGGCCTACCTTAGTCATTGCCGGAGGTGTAGCCAAATGTAACCTCCACCTTCACAGGCACCTTCTGCTGAGGAGTGAGCCTGAACCAGGTACCTGAAATGACAAAGCAGTTGGCTTCTTAACCCCAGATTAAGCATACTTCAGCACTCCCTGCTTTGTGTATCCTAAGGATTTAGCATAATGCCAGCCATGCTAGCAGTCTAATGCTCTCTAGTTTCACTTGCAGTGTCCTCAGCTTCCTTTGCTCTGTGCAGTAAATTTCATTCCATTATCTGGTGGCTGGTTTTGTTTTAGATTGAAATCTCCCAGCTCCCATTGGTGTCTGTATTATTGTAATCTTATTCAAAGCCTCTGCCGATTGCAAGAAATCATGGTGCCCAAATTGCCATTACTCCTTGACTTAAGAGCTAGACTCTTGCTCATAGTGCTTCAATTAACATCCAAATCCTCCTTGGTTTCTGCCTCCAACCAGGTACTTGGCTGAGTGGATGGTAAATGGTTGCCCATCAGAAAATGTTTGGCCACTGGACCTGAAGCGCTTTGGTGCCCTTCAGAGCAGTCGCACCTTCCTCCGTCACCGTGTCATGGAAGTAATGCGTAAGTAACCTACCAGTGTACTCACTATTCTAGTCTAGACAGGTTCTTATCACCTTAGTACCCTGCCCGTGGTGCATTGAGCAACATGACTAACATCTGTCAAGTGTTGTTCTCTTATCCTCTCCCGAGGGGGAGAAATGTTTTTCAGTGGAGTGTCTTGTTTTGATAGGGTTTTAGGTTTGTATCTATCTATCTATCTATCTATCTATCTATCTATATTTTCATGTTGCATTGTATTTATGTTAGAGAAGGCAAGGTCGAAGAAATGCACCTACCTTTGGAGTGGAAGGTAGTGAGGTTTGTGATGACTCTGTCTAGCATTCACAGAGGTGTGTAGGACTCTGTCGTCTCTGCTGCACCTTTTCTCCTCCCAGCATTGAACTGCAGTCATTCTGAGAGCCACTTTCTCCCTTCAGGCCCTCCAGATGGCCGTGCAGCCTTTGCCCAATAGGAGAGAGCACCTGGCTTCCTCATAGGTTGTTAGTAGCACTCTGCTAATCTGTTCCAGAGAGATACTCCTATATTGGTGCTACAGATACCTTTGTACTTGTCTGCTCACCCAACATCCTTTGGACCATGTGTTTTTTATCCTGGTTAACATATCTTCTGCATGGGAGTCCCGTGCATCACTGGCTAGAACTCAAATAGAATAAAGGCAGTGCAGAATGGTGGATTATCTGTAACTTTAAATCAAGATTTAGAATTTATGGGTCTATTACAGGAATGGGTGGGAGAAGATCTGTAGCCTGCGATGTACAGGAGGTTAGACTAGATGATCCTGATGGTCCCTTCTGGCTATAAAGCCTGAGTCTATGAAAGTTTCCACCTAAAAGCATTGTGTTGTCCCAAGCATCCTGATATTTTATGTGTCAGTATAATGTGAAAATGCAAATGTCCCAATTTAGGAATATTGAGTCTAATGATCTTTTATCAGTTGCGAAGGTTTTATAGACATGCTCCACTGTCAAGGGCAAAATGGTTCAGCATGCTGCTGCTGTCTGTATTTACCCTCATGCCACAGTTTCTAATCAGTTGAGGCCCATAATCTTATATATTAAGTGCCTTGTAGGGTGAGGCCCATAATTATGTGTTTCTTCCTATCACTGGATAATCCTGAGTGAAACAAAACTGAGCTTCAATGAAGAGTGGCTTTAGATGGGAAGAGTCCTGCCTCACTGTTTTTAAAGGTGAAGGTAAGGATGGAACAGAAGTGACAATCAAAAGAGTATCTAAGGCTGAGACCTCTCGGGGATCGATTTATCGCGTCCCGATGGGACGCGACAATCGATCCCCGAATCGACGCTCTTACTCCACCAGCGGAGGTGGGAGTAAGCGCTGTCGACGGGAAGCCGCAGAGGTCGATTTTGCCGCCATCCCTACAGCGGGGTAAGTCGGCTGCGATACGTCGAATTCAGCTACGCTATATGCGTAGCTGAATTTGCATATCTTAAATCGACCCCCCCCCTGTAGTGTAGATATAGCCTATAGGAACCAGAAGGCCTAAGCTAAAAATATGTATGTTAAGATCAGAGCAAAAGAATTGCAGGGTAAAACTCTTAGATCACTTATGTCCAAAAAACTTTCCCCCATGTTTAGAATACCTTTCTTTCTCCTGTAGAATCACAGCAGATTCCAAATTTGGCACTCACTCACATCCGTGTACATCCTGAGAAACACCACTGAGTTACTGTAGCTATTCTGGGTAAATTAACACCATGTTCAGTCCCTGGTCTTGTCACATTTTGTATTCTAATAGAAATATCCCTCTCTTCTCTTCCCACCCACTTCCCTCAGGACACTGGTCCAATACCATATAAGAGTGGTAAAAATGCCAGTCATGATGCAGAGAGGACAGATGTATTCAATTAAATATTGAATTAAATTAAATATTTCTGCTCTGTGTTTGGAAAGAAGCAGGATGTTGTATTCGTATCTTACCATGATAAGGAAATACCTTCTGTTCCATCAGTAACTAGGGAAGATGTCAAATAGCAGCTACTATAGTTTAACATATTTAAATCAGCAGGACTGGATAACTTACACCCAGGAGTAGTAAAGAATTGGCTGAGCAGCTCTCTGAACTATTAATATTAATTTTTAACAAATCTTGGGACACTGGGTAAGTCCCAGAGAAGTGGAATAAAGCTAATGTTGTACCAGAATTTTAAAATAAGGGTAAATGAGATGACTTGGGTAACTATAGGCTGGACATCCTGACATCATTCCCAGTTAAAATCATGGAAAAGCTGATATGGGATGCAATCAGTAAAAGATTAAAGGATGGTAGCATAATGAATGCCAGTCAGCATGGTTCTATGGAAAATAGATCTTGTCAAACTAACTTGATATCCTGTTTTGATGAGATTACAAATTGGATTAATAAAGTTAACTGAGTTGACATAAAATATGGAGACTTCTGTAAGGTATTTAATTTAGTCCCACATGACATTGATTTTGTGTATCATCACTGGTAAAAGTTGCAATGACACAAAAATTGGTGGAGTGGTAAATAATGATGGGGTCATTTATACAGACTGATGAGGATTGCTTGGTATATTCAGCTCATCTGAACATGGTGCATTTTAATGCAGCCAAATACAAGGTCATACTTCTAGGAATAAACACATTTACAAGATGAGTGACAATGTCCTGACTCTGAAAAAGATGTAGAGGTAATGGTAGATAACCAATTGAACATGAGCTCCCAGTGTGATGCTGTAGCGAAGAGGGTGAATGTAATCTTGTGATGGGTTGGATCACAGAAACCCCCTTGGGAGCTGCCACCCGATGTGCAAAGACTACCCCTGCTCCTGTTTTCCCTGCCAGCTCAGAACTCCAGCACCCTGTCTTGCTGAGCCAGACACTCCTGTTTGGCTCCAGACACAGATCCAGGGTCTGAATCACTTGTCCCAAAGCTGCAAGTTTACCTGAAAACAGCTCACAGTAGTGTGCTTGTCTTTAGCACTCAGATGCCCAATGTATAATGCTACTCTGAAACCTTGTATTTATAAGCAGGGAATATCAAATAGGAGTAGGGAGGTTGTATTACCTCTGTTTACAGCATTAGTGAGGCCATTCCTGGAATACGTAGTCCAGTTCTGATGCCCACACTTCAAGAAGGACGTTAAAAAATTGGAAAGGGTTCAGAATAGAGCAACAAGAATGCTTTGAGGTCTGGAAAGAGACTTATGAGATTATGGCAAGAGATTTAAGAAGCTCAACCTATTTAGTTTATCCAAAAGTTGGTTAAGAGGTGACTTGATCACCGTCTGTAAGGGCCTAAATGGGAAAGACAATTCTGACAGAGTGCTCTTTAATTAAGCAGGACAAGGCCATGGTTGGAAGCTGAAGCTAGACAAACAGACTAGAAACAAGATGCAAACTTTTGGCAGTGAGGATAGTCATTGGGACAACTTACACGGAGATGTGGTGGATTCTCCATCACTTGCAATCTTTAAATCTAGACTGGATGTCTTTCTAAAAGATATGCTGTAGCTCACTTAGAAGTTATGGGCTTGATACAGAAATTACTGGGAGAGGTTCTATGGCCTGTGTTATGCAAGAGATCTAGATGATCACAGTGGCTCCTTCTGTTTAAAATCTATGACACATGCACCCAGCTGCTATGGCATAGGATTTGGGGGCACGCTGGTGAGAGAAGGCTAGATATGGCTCCAGATATATATAATCCAGCCACCCATTGGTATAAATGGAGTAAGGCTGCTCCATAATCTAGAACTATAGTGTTCTCTTATAACCAGCAAACAACCTAGAAATAAAGTTAGTCTCGCACTCAGCAATTTTATGAACCCTTTTCCTGCTGCTCCTCATCTCAGCTTCTGTACTGCATCAAACTCACCAGTTTCCTTTGAAGAGCTGACATTTGAATGACAGCACTTCAGAAGTGGCATACTAGCTATAACGGGACAGCTTTGAAAAGTTAAATTTGGTACCGTAAGCAGCAGCAAAACAGCTAAATACCAGAATTCTTTCTTCAGCTATGATTTTGCTAGATTATATACTCTCTAGAAGTACGGCAGAATGGATACAATCTGTTAGAAAGGAATACTTGTGAGGAAGGGCAGTCTTTATAAGGAAGCTGGGCTGAAGTGTCAGCAACTTAGCTGATATTTGGCCACCCTTGACCATTACAGCCCTGATCTATGATCTGAAGGTTCCCCGTTGGGATTTCCAGACTGGGAGGCAGTTGCGTACTTCCCCTCTCTATGATCGCCTGGATGCCCAGGGAGCCAGATGGATGGAGAAGCATGGATTCGAGAGACCCAAGTACTTTGTCCCACCAGGGAAAGGTGAGATCATATTCTCCTCTGCATAGAGCATTCCTGTTGATTTAATGTGCATCATTGCAGTCAGCTTATGAATTGTTCTCTCGATTCTTGCCTTCCATAGATCTATTGGCATTGGATCAGAGCAAGACCTTCTACAAACCAGATTGGTTTGACATTGTGGGGTCAGAGGTCAAGTGCTGTAAGGAGGCTGTGTGTGTAATTGACATGTCATCTTTTACCAAGTTTGAAATAAGCGTAAGTACCTATGGGGTGACAAAGGGACAGACTGGCAAATGCTGTTTCTTGTGGGCTGTTTGCTGCTTTTTTAAAATGCTGTATGCCCCATTGAGGATAGATATAGGAGGAAGAACTGTATGATCAATTTCTGCTTTTACCACAGGCCTGTAACATTCTGATTGTATGATTAGTATTTATTTGTACTACCCTTTGTGACTTAATTTAGAGTATTTGTGACATGATTAATTAGAATTAACAGACTTAGCTTTCTGAAAATTCTTGGATACTCTTATGTTATGTGAAAAGCCTTGGCCATCTGTGTAATTACTGTTATGAATTGAGAGGCTTTTGGTGGGATGAATCAGGGGTGCTATATAAAACAGCCTCCATGAATTTGCATTGCCCTGCAGCTCGTTGCTCAGCCAACTGGCCTGATCCTCTCTTTCCATCTCAATCCCTGCAGTCCACAGGGGAGCAGGCACTGGAGGTTCTGCAGTATCTCTTCTCGAATGACCTGGATGTGCCAGTTGGGCACATTGTGCACACAGGCATGCTCAATGAAGAAGGAGGGTATGAGAATGACTGCAGCATTGCACGATTAAACAAGCGCAGGTAAGTCTGCACAGCAGCATCCTTATCTTCTGTGTTCTTGGCGTTAATCTCAGTTTCCGTAGTACCTCTTATTGTAGATAAGTCAGCGTCTTCATTTTCTTTCCCTTTTAATAGTCCTTTGCTGCAGTGTAGTCCACCCCCACAGAGTCCTAATTTCCTAACCCAGTAGAATGACTGTTTGTAACAAGGCAACGTGGGGGAAAATTGTCTTTTCTCTGTTGGTGCAGTAATAAGCTTATGTTTTTAAAAGGACGTGACCAGTCTGGTTAGAGTCTGAAATATTAAGCTTCTCAAAGGGAAGGTAAATTCTGTTCAGCGATCCTTTGACATTGTTATTAATGTTTTCCTAATTATTTAAAATACAAGACAGAATGCACACACGCTGGATTCTAGGCAGCCCTGCCAGAACAACTGCGCTGAACCCTCACCTCCTCTCTCCTTGATTATTTAACTCCACATATGTTGTAGTACGACTTCCCCAATCATCAGCTCTCCAGACTGTAGCCTGTGCAAACTTCTGTTGCCTGCCCTCACCCCATAGATGTTCAGTGTAGCATGAACACATGGCCCAGTGCTTGGTGAGCTCCACTGATTTCTCATTCATTTCAGGATCTAGTCCAAAGCTTCCCTCAATTTTAAAACTGTCCCACTGCATAATCTCCTTATTGTTTGCTTGAGAACCTTCTCCTTTGCAGCTCTTGCTATCTGGAACAATTTCTTTTTATCTCATCATTGCATCAGTTCTCCATGTGTTTTCATAGACCAGGTGAAAGCATTTGTGTGACCCTCGTAGTTTTCCTTCCTATTATTCATTTCTTCAGCTGTTTTATCTAACTCAGTAAAGCACTTTGGGATTCACTTTGTATGAAAGACATTAACCCAAATAAAGGTGTATTAGGTCTTCAGAGATATGAATATAAATAACATTCATTTTACTGTATCAAATTGAGTTCTGTTTCCTTGGAAACTGATACCAGTAACCCCCCAAGGTGTACCAACAGGCAGCTTTTCACTCATTTCTCTTGAAACAGGAAATTACACAGGGAGTAGAACCACTTATTGGTTATTGGAGTAGCTAGAATCTTGGTGGCTGCAAAGAGGTGTGAATAGTTAATTCTTTGCACTGTGGTCATGACATTTGAGATCCCCCATGTTCTTTAACAATTGGCACTGTCTCTAGTCCGGTTCTTGTGCCTCTATTCCCTAAATAAATCACCAGCACTCTTAACACTTCAACGCTGGGATTTCCCATTGTGAGAGTGACTTTATACATGGTTTTAGCAAAGCAATTTGCCTCTGTTCTTGTTTGCTCAGGGGATTACTGCCTGGCTCCAGAGTTCAGAGAAGTGAGTTTTGGTGTTGCATCTCAGAGACAGAACAAAATAGGTTCACCTTGTGGCCATCCAGTCACTGTCCTGCTTTTAATTTTCTATTCTAGTTTCTTCATGATTTCTCCTACTGACCAGCAAGTCCACTGCTGGGCCTGGCTCAAAAAGCATATGCCTAATGACAGTAATTTGCTCTTGGAGGATGTGACCTGGAAGTATACCGGTAAGACATGCCTGGAGGCAGAGGTGAAATTGCCCTGACATTCTGCATGCCTTTTTTTTTTTACTATCACTGCACACTAATCAGTTGTATTATCTGTCCACCATGACGCTCAGGTCTTTTTCCTGAATGGTTACATAGAACCCAGTAATGTGTCTGAGTAGTTCAAACTATTCCTTCCAATATACATAAGCTTGGACGTCACTTCCACTTCCTCACAGGCTCCCAAGACAGCAGCTAGCTGACCCCTGGAAGATCTTTTTCCATTTCTAGTTTCTGTGAATCTCTATGAATCTTGTGATTGTTGCCCATAGCAACAATTGATACAGAAATCAGAGACTGGAAAAAAGTAAGGTAAGCATGCGGACAGATGGAACCTTCCCCTTCATCCATCTGATTGCTCAGTAGTAGAAAACCTTTTCCTTTCTCTATCTAGCTCTCAATCTGATTGGCCCTCGTGCAGTGGACGTGCTGTCAGAATTATCCTATGTCCCGATGACTCCAGAACACTTCCCCTCTCTCTTTTGCAAGGTGAGTGACTTGCATTTACAGATGAGAGTACAAATACTTAGAATTACTGAGATAACTGAACTAGGTACTTAGCACAAATCATTGTGGATATTTTTATTATCTCCCTTTAAAATCTACTTACTGAATATACAGCAGAACTTCTTTGAAATGGACTTTATTCTGTGTAGCTGTAGTTCTAACTGATATCTCAGTTTCAGAGTGGTAGCCGTGTTAGTCTGTATCAGCAAAAAGAATGAGGAGTACTTGTGGCACCTTAGAGACTAACAAATTTATTTGAGCATAAGCTTTCGTGGGCTACAGCCCACTTCATCGGATGCATGCACTGGAAAATATAGTAGGAAGATAGATATACACTGAGAACATGAAAAAATGGGTGTTGCCATACCAATTAAGGTGGGCTATTATCAGCAGGAGAAAAAAAACTTTTGTAGTGATAATCAGGATGGCTCATTTCCAACAGTTGACAAGAAAGTGTGAGTAACAGTAGGGAAAAAATTAGCATGGGGAAATAGCTTTTACTTTGTGTAATGACCCATCCACTCCCAGTCTTTATTCAAGCCTAATTTAGTGGTGTCCAGTTTGCAAATTAATTCCAATTCTGCAGTTTCTCGTTGGAGTCTGTTTTTGAAGTTTTTTTGTTGGAGAGTTGCAACTTTGAGGTCTGTAATTGAGTGACCAGGGAGGTTGAAGTGTTCTCCGACTGGTTTTTGAATGTTATAATTCTTGACGTCTGATTTGTGTCCATTTATTCTTTTGAGTAGAGACTGTCCAGTTTGGCCAATGTACATGGCAGAGGGGCATTGCTGGCACGTGATGGCATAGATCACATTGGTAGATGTGCAGGTGAACGAGCTTCTGATGGTGTGGCTGATGTGGATAGGTCCTATGATGGTGTCCCTTGAATAGATATGTGGACAGAGTTGGCATCGGGCTTTGTTGCAAGGATAGGTTCCTGGGTTAGTGTTTATGTGGGTGTGTGGTTGCTGGTGAGTATTTGCTTCAGGTTGGGGGGCTGTCTGTAAGTGAGGATTGGCCTGTCTCTCAAGATCTGTGTGAGTGAGGGATCGTCCTTCAGGATAGGTTGTAGCTCCTTGATGATGCGCTGGAAAGGTTTTAGTTGGGGGCTGTGGCGTTCTGTTACTTTCTTTGTTGGGCCTGTCCTGGAGTAGGTGACTTCTGGGTACTCGTCTGGCTCTGTCAGTCTGTTTCTTCACTTCAGCAGGTGGGTATTGTAGTTTTAAGAATGCTTGATAGAGATCTAGTAGGGTGTTTGTCTCAGTCTGAGGGATTGGAGCAAATGCGGTTGTATCTTAGAGTTTGGCTGTAGACAATGGATCGTGTGATGTGGTCTGGATGAAAGCTGGAGGCATGTAGGTAAGTATCGCAGTCAGTAGGTTTCTGGTATAGGGTGGTGTTTATTTGACCATCGCTTATTAGCACGGTAGTGTCCAGGAAGTGGATCTCTTGTGTGGACTGATCCAGGCTGAGGTTGATGGTGGGATGGAAATTGTTGAAATCATGGTGGAATTCCTCAAGGGCTTCTTTTCCATGGGTCCAGATGATGAAGATGTCATCATTGTAGCGCAAGTAGAGTAGGGGCGTGTAGCGGGGTGGACACCCGATCCTGCCCTGAAGGGCTTGAAATCAGCCCTGAAAGAGGGCTGCAGTGATAAAAGCTGGGCTGATTTGGGAAGCGGCTGCAGCTGGGCCACACCCCAATCAGGCCACAGCTGGCCTGTATAAAAAGGCTGGGAGCCAGGAGCCCAAACAGTCTCTGTCTGCGTTCAGAGAGAGAAGGGCCTGGCTGCAGGGAGTTTAACCAAGTGCCTAGAGTGGAGCAGGGCTGAGGAAAGGCCAAGGGAGCCAGGGAGCTCTTGCCTCGGAAAGCCCCAGGCTGCAGTCCTAGGGTAAGGCCAACGGTGCACTTGGGTTGCAGGAGGCAGCCCGTGGGTAGGCAAGGCAGAGGCAGTAGGTCCAGATCCCCCTTGCCTGTGATGAGTGGCTGATACACTTCAGTCTGCCCCAGTGAACGGGGGCTAAGTGGTGACTGGCAGTAGCCAAGACTGAGGCGAGGTGGGGGTAGGGGTTCCCCTGGGAGGGGAGACCCTGAGATTGGGGGTTACTGCCAGAGGGGCAGCACCCCAGAGAAAGGGGCACTGGGGTCCTGGAAGGGACACGGGGCCAGCGGTAAAGCGGATCACCAGCCTGCAGAGGGCGCTCCGACAGCTGGAGAGCTAATTCCTGACAGAGACCAGCAGGAGGCGCCGCCGGGTGATTCTGTGCATCTTTCCAGGGCGTTAGGGGATGAGAGCTGAGGAACCGGCGTTCTACGTCAGCCATAAAAATGTTGGCATACTGTGGGGCCATGCGGGTACCTATAGCAGTGCCGCTGACTTGAAGGTATAAATTGTCCCCAAATCTGAAATAGTTGTGGGTGAGGACAAAGTCACAAAGTTCAGCCACCAGGTTTGCCATGACATTATTGGGGATACTGTTCCTGATGGCTTGTAGTCCATCTTTGTGTGGAATGTTGGTTTAGAGGGTTTCTACATCCATAGTGGCCAGGATGGTGTTTTCTGGAAGATCACCGATGGATTGTAGTTTCCTCAGGAAGTCGGTGGTGTCTCGAAGATAGCTAGGAGTGCTGGTAGCGTAGGGCCTGAGGTGAGAGTCTACATAGTCAGACAATCCTGCTGTCAGGGTGCCAATGCCTGAGATGATGGGGCATCCAGGATTTCCAGGTTTATGGCTCTTGGGTAGCAGATAGAATACCTCTGGTCGGGGTTCTAGGGGTGTGTCTGTGCAGATTTGTTCCTGTGCTTTTTCAGGGAGTTTCTTCAGCAAATGGTATAGTTTCTTTTGGTAACCCTCAGTGGGATCAGAGGGTAATGGCCTGTAACACTACATTCTAACAGAGACAGTCCATTGTTTGTTCTCTGATACAGCTGACTGGAGAGCATCCATGGACAAAGCAGTTTTTCCACTGAACCTGGCCCCTAATAACCTCAAAATGAATTATGCCTCTTCCTTCCCACCACAGGATGCACTCTTTTGTCCTCTGAGGAAACTCTTCTTAAAATAAGAGGTGGATGTCCACAGCTCTGCCAGTATTTATGATTGGTATGAATGTGGGCATCTTTCTCATATGGCTTGTGAGTGAAGGATTAGAAATGCAACTCTTCCCATAAAAAGCAACAAAGAGTGAATTCACCCATGAAAGCTTATGCTCCAATACATCTGTTAGTCTATAAGGTGCCACAGGACTCTTTTTACAGTTCCAGACTAACATGGCTACCCCTCTGAAACTCTTCCCATGTGTGTATTTGCAGATCCTATCTCCCAGCAACATCTTTGGCATTAGCGTTTATGGCTCTCCTAGTGAGATATCTGTTAGTGCAAGTAGCAAATGCCCCGAAAACCATAACCTCAGAAAATAAGAACTGATCAAATCTCCTTGTTTGAATTAAACTTCACTTTTGAAGTGAGCTAAGATGAGGAAGGAGAAAAGGTTTAGCCCATGGGGTTTGCAGTGTGTGTTTGGCGGGGGGGTCCTCATTCTGGATCTTAGATTCCATGGTCCAGTCTGAACTTTGCTTTTCTCTCTTTAACTCCCCCTTTCTGCAGGAAATGAGCGTGGGGTATGCTAATGGGATCCGTGTGATGAGCATGACACACACAGGAGAACCTGGATTCATGCTATACATCCCTATAGAGGTATAGTGGTTTATAAGCCTTAACCAGTCAGTTCAGTCCTTAAGTCTTTACTCAGTAACACTTCCATCTTAACCATACAAAGATGAATAGGCTTCTTTCCTGCTTGGGTGGGTATAGTTAACTTTGACCCTTGTGGCATGGGGAATGGCATTTTGTAATCTGAAGTATACAAGTGCCTTTGCTAGAACCTCTGGATTCTGGAAGTGAAATTAATGCTGCCTTACATTCAGTCGAACGTGTTTGCTTGCTAGAGTCAGTACTTAGCCATGTGTATAAAAGGTAGGTTTACCAGGCCGGACTATTTTCTGCCCTTGGCGTCCAAATCACACTGCTGTAGTTCTTGTAGTGCATGTAAAAGATCAGATACTGTTGTGTAGTCATGGGCACTCAGTGCAAGGTCTGGTTTTATGAAACTGGGGGACAGAAGGAGGTGGGGGTAGGGAAACTACAGCATATTAACCCAAGATTATGGGAGTCGAATATTAGTCAAAGCCAATTATGGGAAGAATGACCCATTCAATGGAAATAATAGCTGGCAAATTTAAGAACAAATAAATGAAATACTCCTTCCTACAGTTTGTAGTCCGGCTGTGGAAGTCACTGATGTATAGAATTAATGTCCCATACTGTGGCTGGCTTTTAAAGGATGGGTACATAATTATATGCCCCTTATTTGTAGTAATACTAACTCAAACAGGGTAGTCAAATCTGTCTTTACTGTGTGAGCTGATCTCTGAAAGGGACAGGAAGGAGTTTCCCTGCTTTGTGCAGCATTACACAATTGGACAGGTACCTTGTGCAGTCTTTCCTGTGAAGCATTGCTCCGGAGACAGGGTACTGAAGTCTGCCTCTTGCTGTGGAAGATTGTCCCTTTATCTTCTCTGATGCTGTGTGTGCTGGTAATCCTGATGTGTTAATTCTTCCCTGCAGTATGCTCTGCATGTGTACAATGAGTTGATGAGCGTGGGACAGAAGTATGGGATCCGGAATGCTGGCTATTATGCACTTCGCAGCTTACGCATTGAAAAGTTCTTTGCGTTCTGGGGTCAGGATCTGGACACTTTCACCACCCCCTTGGAATGTGGACGTGAGTTCCGGGTGAAACTGGACAAGGTACTGTGTCTGAGGCTGAACCAGCTCCCTCAGCAGTGTTTGCGTGAGAACAGGCAGGATACATGGGATTGAAACAAAGAAGGCAAAGCAGTACTGCCCTGAAAAGAGAGTGCTCTCTAACGGGATAGGTTCCAACACAAATATTTTCATGGGGAAGTGGAGAACTTGTGTGTGAAAATATTTTGTCTGTATTAATGACTGATTCTGTTGCATCTTGAAAAGATGCTAGAAACCACATGAATGCTGTACCCTCCAGCCTCTAGGGCAGTAATCTCAACTGCTTGTGAGTGAAGAATTAGAAATGCAACTCTTCTCACATCTGCCGTGTTTGCAAATCCTATCTCCCAGCAACCGTTTGGCACTAGTGTTTATGGCTTTGTGCCTAGTGTGAACCTTTTACCTGGATAGGGACAATGGGTGTGGAGAGCACTCAGCTGCTTGCAGGATTCAGCCTATTGTTTCGCTTTCTCCTACCAGTCCCCCTGCCCAGTTTCATTGATGGTGCCAGCACATCCCATGGAACAAGATTTGAGGTCAGTTCAACAGCCTAGGGAAGCCCAAGAGCACCAAACCCTGTTTTTTACAGGGATCATCCATAAAAAAATTGCTGTTATGGCAAGGGGTTGGTTGAGATCGGAGTGATATTTTGGGTGCTGGTGATGATCCTTATCTGTTACAACCACTCTCTGGATGCTAAAACTTGGGGTCTCAGTTGCATGAGAGGTAGCAGAATGCCTGGTTTTGTCCTGTTTGCAGGGGTGAGAACCCTCTTGGTAAAGTAGTGACTCCAGGAACTTGATCCAGTTGATCTGGAGTTGTAAGGTTTGACTTGTCTTTTCGTTCTGGGCTCCCTTTTGTCACTATATCAGTAGTATGTACCCCACTCAAACCATGTGACCAGGAGGGCAGCTAGCATCCCCAGAGAGTGACATAATGCTCCACAACCAGAGTGAAGAGAAGCAGTGCACCTCCTTCTTCGAGAGATGTCCCTGTGGGTGCTCCACTCCAGCTGTTGGTGCGCCCGTGCCTTCGCTCAGAGATTTTGACAGCTGTATTCATACCAGTTGCGCACGTGCAGAGCCTGCCCCATGCGCCGAGTGTGCCTCAATAGTACGCATACGTGACCAGTCTCCCCAGTTCCTTCTCTACTGTCCCCGGCCTGAGATGGTGCTCAGCAGACTCATCAGAGAACTTTCTCTCACCTTGTTTAAAATAATTTCCTTCTTAGTTTAGCTTTCCAGTTAGTTAGATACAACTTCCCCTATCTCCTTTCTCTACCAACCCCCCTCCCCCCGCACCATACCCCTTTTCTTTTTTCCTGTCAGCTGCAGCCGCTTCCTATGTGCCTGGCTCCACAGGCTTTAAGCGCTGCTCCACCTGCCGCGATGCCATTCCCATCTCCAACGGTCACTCCCAAAGTATAAAATGCTTGGGGGAATCCCACATCCCCCAAAATGTGCCCACTGTTGTAAACTTAAATCCAGGGCACGTAAGGACAGGGAGCTGAGATTTAAACTGTTCCTTATGCAGAAGTCCTTAGGACCAGCCTCGGACCCAGGCGCCGACTCCTCTGCACACGGCTGCCCCCCCGCCCCAAAGAAGGAGAAAAAATCCTCCAAGAAGCAGCAGTCTCTCTCCCCTGTAAGGGACGCACCAAGAGCCAAAAGTTCACCGGGCAGGTCTACAACCTCTCTCCGGCGTTTCCCCGACTCAGCAGTTTTGATGCGCCGGGCTCCTCCAGCGCTGCGTAAAACCTGCCTGCGCTGTGGCGTTACCCTGTTTCCCCGAAAATAAGACAGTGGCTTATATTAATTTTTGCTCCCAAAGAC